TGTCTTTTTTTCAGTCAGTCTGGAATCCTTACAGTTTTTTTCTCAGTACTCATCTATCTTGTTTTGATGGCTTAGACTGACAAAGCTTTTTTTTTCTTTTGGACTACACCAAGTTTTTCTTCATCAGTGCGTTTTTTTTTTTTCTTTTGGACTACACCAAATTTTTCTTCATCAGTGCAGCACAAGTGAAAACTGGGTAGGCAACTAATGATTTTCTTGTTAATGCCCTGAAAAGTCTATTTGAATATATGTGCAAGTAACGGGAAGTGCAAACAATTGTAAAGCGTGACTTTAAAAAAGCTGGTCTCAGCAGTTTTCTAAATCTGCCCTACATGATATTCAGTTGTGAAACTCTAGCAGATGAAGAACTGAGAGTAAAAGTGAATTGTTAAGCAGAAAAATGGTGTACATCAAAAGCTATTATAGCAGAAAGCTATTGGGTACCCTCCTTCCTGTTAAGGATAAAGATCAGGTACATCATCTTCCTGTTGCTTGAGACTAGTTCTTAAACTCTAGTGTAAATCATCAAGTAAATTTTAGGATATTATTGTCTGCTTTTATATTCAAAATTACTTGTATTGATTTTTTGCTGTATCTTAATGACGTGTTACCTTTTACTGGTGCCTCTGCACTAGTCTCATGTGTTATACTTAGTAAGAAATGGATGTATCATTTTTCTGTAAACCCTTACAGTATTGAAGAATTATATCTGCAAATATCCTCAATACTAAAGAAAAAATATGTGAAATATTTCTTTAAACACAGTATTTTGCATGTGTATTCCATCAGTCCTGTGGAATTTACTCTGTGCTGTGCTGTGCTGGCAAGAGATGATTAATGAAAGTGATGGGCGATGTGACTTGCCATGGGCATTAAGTGTGAATCCCACATAGCTGACCTGTCCAAACGTCCTCTGCAACCTGGCCTTCATCTTACACATTCCATCGTCTCACGGATTCCTTCTCCAGCTCTGCAATCCCACTGGTTGTACTGGTTTGTCAAATGAAGCCGGGAGGTAAGAGAGATTGACGTTAGCGTGCTCGGAGCCATCTCACTGCTCAGCAAAACATGACTTAGGTTGTGACTCCTCCTTCAGAATGTGACTGCATCTAAACATCTATAAGATACTACATGCACTTGCTCCACACATGACCTAATTCTGTGATCGAGGAAGATGTTAGCCGAGATACATACAGTTCATAGTGGTGTGGCCTGTAGTTAAACCATGCTTTTGCTAAAAAAAGTTTAGTCTGAACCTGTCAGATAAAGACCATTTTTCACAGGTGCTAGTTTTTGTCAGCTCCAGCGTTTTGTGTCCAGCCCAGAGCCCCCTCTCCCAGCCCTGATTTGGCTGCTTTTCTTCAACCTGCAGCACTTCAGTTTTCACTTCTCCTCTGGATCTCAAATCTCCGTTCTTCAGGTCTGCAGTGCTGCCTCTTTCTTTTAGACACAAACCAATATTGATAGCAACCATCTTAGCTATATCTTAGCTAGTGATGGTATCTGGGCTAGTGATTTTCCAACTCCATGTAGGAAAAACAGGACTGTGATCAGGAAGAAGACAAAACTGAAACATGAAAACAAAACTAGGCTGGAGACAGGCAGAACTACAGCTGCAAGCTGTGAAGTTGCTGCTTTACCGCTAATTCACCAGCCATTCACATCGTGTTTTCATTTTAGGCTTTAGTTTCTCTCCTCACTTCTTGACACCTCCAATAAAATGGATCAGTGAACTGATCTCAAATTAAAAAAAAAAAACTTTATTTAAACAGATTATTTTTAACCTGATTTAGTTCCCTGATTCAGTTCCTTGTGTGGCTTTACAAATAGCACAGTTGAGGGTGCGGTGTGAGAGGAAAAGGAGCCTGGAAACAGGAAATCTTTCAGACAGCATTGTCATTAAGAGCTCTGTTTCATGTAACTCTGCTTGCCACAAGGCAACTACTAAGATGTTTTTTCCTGATTGGGCTCCGAAATGGGTAGCTGCAATGCCTCCACACCACGAAGGGCTCAGGAGACACACACATCCCACCATGACACTACAAAGCCTGGAACTTGCTCTCTGAAGAGCAACCAGAATGATGGCACATGAATGCTCGTGTCAACAGAAGCGATAGGCTAGAAATGGCAGTGCCACTATACAAAAGAGAACACAGAATCACAGAACCACAGAAGGGCTGAGGTTGGAAAGGGACCTCTAGAGATCATCTAGTTCAACTCCTCTGCTCCAGCAGGGACACCTAGAGCATGTGGCACAGGGTGGCATCCAGGCGGTTTTGGAAGATCTCCAGAGAAGGAGACTCCACAACCTCCGTGGGCAGCCTGTTCCAGGGCTCTGTCACCGTCACAGTAAATAAGTGCTTCCTCACATGGAGGTGGAACTGCCTGTGTTTTCATTTGTACCCATTACCGATTGTCCTGTCACTGGCCACCACGGAGAAAAGCCTGGCCCCATCCTCCCTACATTCTCCCCTCAGGTACTTAAACATATTGATCAAATCTCTTCTCAATCTTTTCTTCTCCAGACTAAACAGGCCCAGCTCACTTAGTCTTTCCTTACACGATAGATGCTCCAGTCCCTTAATCATCTTCGTTGCTCTATGCTGGACCGTCTCTGGAAGCTCCACGTCCTTCTTGTACTAGGGAGCCCAGAACTGCACCCAATACTCCAGGTGTGGCCTCACCAAAGCTGTAATACCTAGTAAGTTTGTTTAAAAGCCATTCAGAATATTCGAGAAATGCCATCATGGTGTTTACCCACTGTTCACTGCATAAATCTTGAGCAGCAAACACACAGGACAAGGCATGACCCAAACTCTATTTGGCTAAATATTGTTCTAAATCAAAGAAAAAGACTGCATCTGTGTTTCTAATCCAATGTAAACAACAAACAGGAGAAATGAACAAACAGAGAATATTGAAGGAATATCAGTAAAGTTCTGTAGTTTTTTTTTTTTGAATGCTTAGTAAATGCTTTATAAATAATATATCTCCAGCAGTGCCCCTCTGAGCTGATGGTCATGCTAAATTTCCCACCTGCATGTGCATTCAGACCATCACTGCCTTGCAATTTTACACATGAAGCTTAAGGTATGATTTAGCCTACCAGTATGGAAGCATACTAGCATTCCTTAACTTATTTTAGCCTACCAGTATGGAAGCATACTAGTGTAAACTTATCAAAACTTACAGAAATTTCAAATTTAGTACTGTTAACAATTATAAAATCATACTAGTACTTTATTTTTACATATTTTTGCATGTGTTGGTACATTAAATATGTTTTGAAAATTTTTCTTTTTTCAGGTAATTTATTTTAAAGGTTTTGTTTGTTTTTCTTTGCCTAGAGCTGTTTTGTTGAACTGACTGTAATAAAATTGTATATAATGTAATTTGTTTTCAAAAAAAATATGTAAAATACATAATATAGTGGTTGGGAACCATTAAATCTTTTCCAGGCTTTATATATAATTAATTTAAACCTAAATTCATGTAAACAATCTGACTCAAATTTTCAGAAATTATTTCCTGTTTGCAGTATGGATTTAAACTTTCATCATCCCTCTGGCTTTCCAACCTCTTACTATTATTGCACTGTCCAGTAAGGACATGCAAAAAAAGCAAGAATAATTTAAGTCAATATCGTCACTGAATCTATGACAGCAAAGAGTTCGCCCAAGGCAAAGAAAATAAGGAATAATGTTGCTTCAGGATTTCTCTCTTACTGAGAGATTTTGAATTGATGTATATTCCAACCAAGGGCATAGAGCTATGGAAAAGTTATCACAAATTAACTTAGGTTGCATGTGAAGTGTCTCTGCCTCTTGACTGGCTAAATTTAACTGGTCTGTGGGAAACTGCAATTTATGTTCATCCTTTGCCATTCTAAGTGATGGATATTTAGGGGCGACTCAAAAAGGACATTTCTTTCTGTGGCCTCTGTTTCTGCAGCTCATTTGGATCCTGCCGGTTGCTGCTTCAGTTGTGTCAATATCAACATTTTTATAGTGAAAAGGAATAAAAGATTATTTGGGATGGGTGAAGGGGAGAGGGATGGTGGTCACAATTCAATATTTGCCAGCAAAATCAAGTATGCCAGGCAAAGCCCAAGAATACAGAAAGGATACGACAAGCGCAGTAGAGCAGGGACTGTCACTAAAATGTGCCGATACTAAGAGCAGATTTGGTTCATTTCTCTTACAAGAAAAATCACCGCCAGGGTGTTATTACCGCCATGCTCTAAAACTGCACCAAGGGTCAAACGCATGGCAAGTTACTCTATGTCCTAACTGTGGGCTTTTGACATAGAAGGAGGAGAAAGCTGAATTCAGTTTCTTACTCATCCTCATTTATACTAGTCGCTTATATCTTACAGAAGAGCCACCGGTAACGTTTTATTCCACTGAGCACAGGTAGAGGTTTAGCACAAACAGATGCTTCAGGACAACTCAGTTGCAGCACAGCTGATCTGTGTGGCATGTTCCTCAAAAAAAGATGAAATGCAGTTTCTTACTCAAGTGCCACTTAGGGTAATGGAAGGCAAGAGGACACAAAAAGCACACGGCTATAAGACAAACATCGAAGGACTGAGCCCAAGGGTCTGCTGCAGCCAACAGCGCCATGTCGAGCCTTATCCGAGCTACTGCAAAGCAGCCCGTCGCTCGTTTGGGCTGCGAGCCCTGAGCGATGGCGGGTGCGCGGCAGCGCCTCAGCGCAACGGACACAACCGCCACCCCCAGCCGCAACGGGGCGGCGCGG